TACGTGACCCGACGCTTTCTTGGGGGCCTCCAGTCTCCAAGGCTCTCCAAGGCTTCTAAGACGACCCAAGAAGGCCACCAAGGCCGCCAAGATACTAACATTGCCTCAAGAGGCACTCAGCAGCCCCCAAGAAGACCCCAAGAGGCGCCCAAGGGCCCCAAGAGGCTTCCGAGGCACTAAAGCATAGCAAGATGCCCTCCAGGAATCCCTAAAACAATGTAAACATCATGATACCGGAGAAAAAACCCAATCAGATTTTGTTAGGGCTATAGGGCTATAGGGCTATTGGGCTATAGGGCTATCAGGCTATCGGGCAATAGGGCTATCGGGCTATAGGACTGTGACCTATAGGGCCATAGGGCTATAGGGCTATGGGGCTATAGAGCTATATGGGCTATGGGGCTATAGGGATATAATTAGGCTATTAGGGCTATAGGGATATAAAGCTATAGGGCTGCAGGGCTATAGGGCAATACGGTTATAGGGCTATAGGGCTATAGGGCTATAAGGCTACTGGGCTATTGGGCACCCCCAGGCACCCGGGCACCCCCGGGCACCCGGGCACCCCCGGGCACCCGGGCACCCCAGGGCACCCGGGCACCCGGGCCTGGCCACCGAAATCGGCCACCCGGGCACCCCCGGGCACCCGGGCACCCGGCCCCGGCCACCGAAATCGGCCGCCGACCTCACCTCAGCTTTATATCCGCTAGGACCCCTACAGAAGCAAGCTCTGATTGGGGAAAAAGGTGATCCCTGGTGTTCAATATTGGGTCTCCTAGGCCCTTCGGCTCCAGACGAACCCAACAGGGCCGAGGAGGAGCCAAAGAGAAGCAAAGAGCCCAAAGAAGGCCCCGAGAGGCCCCCAAGACGGCCAAGCACAGCCGCAAGAGAGCTCCAGGACAGCCGCAGAGGGGCCCAGGACAGCACAAGAGTGCGCCAAGACGGCCCAAAAGTGCTCCAAGGAGGGCCCCAAGACCCCCCCAAAAGAGCACCAAGAGACTCCCCGGACAGCTGAGAAGGATCCAAGACGGCCCGAGACGGCACCAAGACGGCCCAACGGGGCCCTAAGACGGCCCAAGAGGGTCTCAAGACGTGGGTCAGAGGCTTCTTGTACCCGTTGGGGTCTCCTGGCATGATTCTCGGGCGACCCTGGGAGCCAGTCTTGGAGCCTCTTGGGGCCTCCTGAGGGCTGTTTGGGGGCCTCTTGAAGCCTCTTTCGGGCCTCTTGGGAGCCTGCTGGCGGTCTGGGAAGTCAATTTGGGCCGGAGGGCTCGACATGTGAGCTGGAGTTCCCTTTCTTTGGCCCCTCATGGGGCCATCTTGGGCCGTCCTGGGCGCCTCTTCGACCGTCTTGGGGCTCTCTTGGGCCGTCTTGGAGCTCTCCTTGGGGCATTTTGAGCTGTCTTAGGGTGATCTTCGTGGCCTGTTGAGCAGTCCTGGGCGCTGTGATGACCTGGCAACCAAATATGCTGAATATTCAAACTTTTTAGTTTTGGCCATCCGGGGCCCTCTTGGGGAGCATCTTGGAGCCTTCCTGGGGCGTCTCGAAGGCCTCTTGGAATCTCTTCGGCCAGCTTGAAGCCATCTCGGGGCGTCTTGGGTCGTATTGCGCAGCTTTCGTCACCTATTCGTGTCCCCATGGAAGCTTGTTTTGGGCGGCCGGGGTGGCCGGGGGGAGGCCCAGGAGGCTCTGGAAGGGGGGGGGGAGAAGGGGGGGCGGGGAAGGGGGGGGGCAAACGGGAGAACAAAAAAGAAGCGGAATCCGGGGGGGGGTGCCGGCCATGGGCCCGGGCTCCAGCACTCTGGAATTTGGGAGGCCGTTCGGGCCTTCTCCGCTGCCTCTGGGACTGCCTTGGGACCGTCTTGGCGCCCTCTGGGGGGTCTCTTGGGCCGTGTTGGGGCGATCGTTTTGGCCCGAGGCGAGGCTCATTTGCCTCCGCGTGGGGCGTGCCTCGACCATGTCTTCCAGGGGCTCAAGAAAATAGTGCTCCGCTGGACCTCCCAGCAGCTGACGAAAGTGGTGACAGTTCCGCAGTGGGCAGAGCCTCCAAGCAGGCAGGTGTCCCACTTGGGTCCTGCGAAGACGTCGCTCCGATGAGGCTCCGAGTAGCTCACGAAAGTGGCGCCTGTTGCGCAGTTGGCAGCACCCAGGCAGGGCGGGGTCCCACGCGGGGCTCCGTGGGACGTCACAGCGCTCGGCCTCTCAGGAGCTCACGAAAGTGGCGATCAACTGCGCAGGTGGCAGCACCCAGGCAGGGCAGTTGCTCAGTTGGCAGCCCCCAGGGAGGGCGAGGTCCCTTTTCTGGGCTCGCGTGGGACGTCACTCGGCTGGACCTCCCACGAGCTTACAAAAGCGGCGACATCTGCGGACCTGGCGAGGTCCCTTTCGGGTCCCCGAGGGGCGTCATTCCGCTGGGCCTCCCAGGAACTTACGGAAGTGGTGGACATGTAGGTTGTTACAAGTGTTCGTGGCCTCAGAAGCGCGGATCCATGGTCCGTTATTCGGAACCGTGGCATCAGTGACGTTGTATAATGTATTCTTTCTTTGGCTAGGGATCGTGGTTTCGGAAACGCGGACCCATAGTGCTTTACACATGATCGTGGACCCTGGAGCGCATATACGTTTTGAGACGAGGCGTCGTGGGCTCGGGGGCGCGGATACATAGTTCTGTGAAGAGGGATGAGGCCGTATTGGGTGCCGTATAAAGAACCATCGCGCGCGCTTCGCGCGCGCCCAAGTTCTAGCTAGCTTGAAGGATAGCGCGTAGCGAAGGATAGCGCGATGCGGCTCTTGGGCCGTCTCGGAGCTCTCTTCGAGCCTGTTTTGGGCTTCTTGGGGGCCTCTTGGGGCCTCTTGGGGGCCTCTTGGGGCCTCTTGGGGACTTCCTGGGGGCCTCTTGGGGCCTCTTGGGGGCATGTTGAGGCGGAAAGCTTGATTTTTCAGTTCGCGCTCCCTCTCTGGGCCCCTCTTGGGGCCTTCTTGGGACTCTCTTGCGCCGTCTTGGGCGGCTCTGGAGCCGTCTCGGGGCTCTCTTGGGCCGTCTTGGGGCCCTCTTGGGGGCCTCGTGGGCCGTCTTGGAGCGGTTTTGGGAGCCTCTTGGGCGGTGCTTTAGCGCTGGAAACACGCAACAGCGAGAATGCAAAAATAATATTGAAAAAACAATGAAAATCAACGATTTGCCCTCTCGGGGCGCTCTTGGGCGGCATCTTACAGGCCTCTTGGGGCGTCTAGGGGGCCTCCGGGGCAGTTTAAAACGCATCGTGCGTCGCCAAAGACCCCTGGACGGCGTCTTGGGGTTGTCTCGAGACCGTCTGGGGCCGCCGGAATTGCTCTCTGAGGGCTCCGCGGGGCGATTTTAGGCTTCCCAGAGGCGGGCCCGGGCCCTGGGGCCCACATTTGCGGTCGAGGTTCCGGCCCTCGGCCACCGGGCCCGGTGCGCCGTTATGTGTATGAGCTATGCTATGCTATTCTAAGCTATGCTATGCTATGCTACGCCATACTGTGTGATGCGATCGTATACTATTATATGCGATGCGATGCGATGCTATGCGATGCTATGCGATGCTATGCTATGCTATGCTATGCTACGCCATGCTCTTCTATGCTGTGTTGTGCGATGCTATGCAATGCTATGCTCTGCTATGCGATACAATGCTATGTTGTAGCTCCAGTTGGCCCCCCCTTCCTCCCCCCTTAACCACACACACAACCTCCTTATCACCCGAAGGGTGGTCGTACATGTAGGTATGAACTGGCAGGATCTCGCGGCCAGAGACGCAACCGCCTCGCGCAAACTTGCCTGGAATGGGAACGATCTGGGAGGAGCGGGGAGGGGTGCGGAGTGGGGTGTCTTGTGGGCCTCTTGGACTGTCTCAGAGCGCTCTGGGATCCACAGGCGCCTACTGAGGCCGTCTTGGAGAGCTCTGTGGGACGTCTTTTGGGCGATCCTGCGGGCTTCTTGGGCCGTCTTGGACGCCTTCTTGGGATGTCTTGCGGCGATCTTGGGGTTATCTCAGCGCCTTCGGGCCCTCCGAAAGCCCCCCGAAGGCCCGCAATGAGTCCCGGACCCCGAGGGACACAGCGGGCACCGCGGGGGGAGGGGGGAGTTTTGGAAAAGTGGGCCGCCTCGGGCCCCAGAGGCCTGGTCGCAGGATCCGCATGGTGATGGTGGGCAACTATGATGAGCGCTTGCGCGCTGCAGTCAGAGCCACCTTGAGCCACCAAAATGGCTACGGATACTCGTGGAGCGCCTTTTGGAGCCCCTTTGGAGCGTCGTGGGGCCTCTAGGGGGCCTCTAGGGAGCCTCTTGGGTTCTGTTGGGAGCCTCTTGGGGCCTCCTGGAAGCCTCTTGGGGTGGAAGGCTCGAATTGTCGGTTCGCGTTCCCCCTCTTGGGCCCCTCTGGGGCCGTCTTAAAACCGTTTTGGGGCCCTCTTGGGCGATCTTGGGCGTCTCTTGGGCCTGCTTGGGGCACTCTTGGGCCGTCTTGGGACTCTCTTGCGCCGTCGTGGCGCACTCTTTGGGTGCCTCTCAAGCCGTCTTGAGCTGATTACTGGGGCCTCATGGACCGTCGGAAGCACGAAACAGCGAGAACACGAACAACCTTGAACCCAGTCAGCAAGAAAAACATACTTTTTCGCCTCTTGAATGCCTCGTGGGAGTCCTTTTGAGGGCATCTTGGCCGACTTAAAACCCTCTTGGCTACAACGCTCTTGTGCGGTCTTGGGCTCTCTTGGGGCGCTCGTGGGCCATCTTGGCGCCTTCTTGGACGTCTCTCGGCCCCCTTTGAAGTTTTTTGGCGCCCCTCCCTGGGCCCGAAACGGCCGGAAGGCAAATCAGTGCACTTTGGGGGCCCCAGGACCCCCTGCTCATTATATGTGTATATCTGTGTGTGTACAGATGCACATATGTAGATGTGTATATATACATGTGTATATATATACACATCTATATAGATGTCACACAAGCTACCGAACAACACAAACTTGCAAATGACGTGTACAATTGATCCTCCGGTACGTGTTACGTGATATTCGCGCATAGTTGCGCTTTCGTGCGATTCCCTATCACACCACGTCGCATTCACGCTGGAGGGATGCCAGCTTCAAGGTTGCTGGAGCTCGAATTGGTTTAACCAAATCAAAGATGATTCAAGTGCCAGACGGCATTGACGGGGCCTGGCGGACATCCACCGCTGGGTTACGGGTCGCGCGCAGGCTCCAAAAACAAAAAAGTCTAGTGACGGGGGGGCCTAGCACCACTGTCGCATGACAACAAGTGGTGATCCAGGATCCCCTGTCAAGAGACTACACGCCATAAGGCTGAATGCAAAGGCCAGTGAACAGATGCCCCCACCCTCGCCCCAGCCCCCTCCTCTCACCAGCGGGGCCTCATGGCACCAAGCGTTCAATGTCCGCAAGACGGACCGAGTGAACTTGAATTTCCGACGGACGCCTCTGTAAGTCAGTCAGGCACCGCCGCAAGACCTAGTCAAATCGTTTAGAACCCTTGCAGATTCAAGCGAAGAGGAGAAGGAGGAGAAGAGCAAAGGAAGGGAAGGGTTGGAGGCCGCCAGGAGGTCTGAACTTGATGGACCCCCAGAGAATGTGTCAAGAAAGGGTAAGGGCAGATCCGCACAAAAACTGTTCCCAAACCCCTCCCCGGGTCCATCTGGTGCAAATTGTCATCCCGGAACTGTTTTTGACGGTCTCGGGACCCGAAAACGGCTCCCAGAAGCCGGAGAATGCAAAAACCTTCTCGAACCCAGGACCTCGAACCTCGACTCCCCCCTTCCTGCTCGCCAGGAACAATGCTAGGCAACCTCAGACCCCCAGCCGACTCCAAAGGAAGGGAGGAAAGGAAAGGAGATGGGGAGCGAGGAGCGCCAAAAGAGTCCGGACCCAGAGCGGCAGTCGACCTGGGATCCCTTCCCGTCCGTAGGGCCCCAAACCTCGGGCCCCAATAGATGAACCGCCGGGGGAGGAGGAGGAGGAGGAGGAGGAGGAGGAGGAGGAGGAGGAGGAGCCAATAAATGAACTGCCGAGAAGAAGGGGCCGAGAGTTGGGGGGCCCAGCGCCCAGCGCTGTGTGGTGACGGACCGCGTGGTGACCTCGGAAACCCCAGCGACCTCACCGCGCGGTCCGTCACCGCACGGTCTTGGGACCCTCAGGCTCAGACCGCCTAGTCCTCGGAAAACGACCCGAGTCCCAAAACTGTGCGGAGACCCATAACACAGCTTTTTTTCCCAACCACCCTGTGGTGTTGGGTCCTCGTCATGAAGAAACAGCGCCGCGCGTCCTCTCACCTCCTCCCGCCCTCCTCCCCTTCCTCCCTCCTCCCTCCCCATCCTTGCCTCTGCTCCCCGCATCAGTCTACCATGTCGGCACACCCCTCAGACGTTTTGTGGCCCCATCGGGAGCTCCACCGGAGGCAACAATGGAAAAGTTCGTATGGCACCGCCGCCACATTTCGGCACACCCCTCACACGATTCGCGGCCCCATAGGGAGATCCACCTGAGGCCACAGTGAGAAAGTTCGCATGGCACCGCCGCCCCACTTCGGCACAGCCCTCACACTTTTTGTGGTCCCATAGGGAGCTCCACCTAAGGCCACAGTGGAAATGTTGCAGGACACCGCCGCCCCGTTTCGGCACACCCCTCACCCGCTTCGTGGCCCCATAGGGAGCACCACCGAATACGAGATTCACAATTGCGGTACTCAAAACTGCATATGGTTGAGTCATTCGTCAGGCTAATTGTCATGCTTCGCGGGAGCGGCCGTTACCGGCCTCGGCCGTCCCCACCCACAGGTAACGTCACGATCTTGCTGGACTCCCAGACGGCTCGGGAGGGCTCCAAGAAAGCTCCGAGAGAGCACCCCAGGAGTGGCACCCAAGAGGGCCCTTTGGGTACCACTGTCAGAAGGCGCTCTTGAGGCGCTCTTGGACTTCTCTCGGGAGCCTTTTCGGAATCTTCTGAGGAGCCCGTCTTGCAGCCCTCTCAAAGACCCCATCCGTGTCCCAAAAAAGCCCAAGAGCAGCCCAGGAGGGACCCAACAACACTCCAAGAGGACCCGAAGATGGCACCCCGACAGTGGCACCCACGAGCCCCTCTTGGGTGCCAGCCGGGTGGCCTTTTGGGGGCCCTCCTGGGGTCCTCTTGGGCCCCCTCTGGTCTACTCTCGAGGCCCCGTTGGGCTTCTCTCAGAGCCCTGGTGTGACCGAGAAACTTTCTCAGCCGCCCGTCGGGCCGCTAAGATCAACTGCGCGCAGCTGATCTCATAACTGGATATCGTTTGACCGACCATTATCCCCACTGGCGTGGCCCTCGTCCCACTGAGCGATCTACCTCCCCCACACACCGTGGTATGTATGCCGTCTCCCTCGGGTTTCAGGGGGTGAACCTTTACCTCGGCGGCGGGTGGAAGGGTAGGTTGGTAGGAGGCTCAATGGGGGTTGGGGTCGGTTAGCCGATACTGAATCACCTCCGCCGCTTTCCCTACCCTCCCCCCACCACCCCCGGCGTCGCGACTTTTTCCCAACGGCGGCCCTGGATTTGTGAACCTTCCCCGGGATCAGCTCTATCCCGCTTTATTATCCTGAGCTGCGCGTTCGCTCCAGAAGACCAATGAGATTGTGAAGCCTGAGAACGGCCGAAAACGTTGCGTCGTCGTCGTCGCCCGTAGGGAGGGCCTCATGAATCCAAGTCCCAGAAGCCCTTTTCGGAACCAGAATGGTGGGAATGTCTTGGAGGCTGCTTGCGGCGTTCCGTCGACGTCGTCGTCGTTGTCGTCGCCTCTTGGGGAGGCCTTTCGAAGGCGCAAGGAATGATGTCCCCGGAAGGCTTGTTGGCAAAATGAATGTTGGAAGTGTCTTGGAGGACTGCGTGGGGCTGTCCGTCTCCAGCATAGCCTCTTGGGAGCCATGTTGGGGGCCTGATGAATCATGTTCCTGGCATGCCTTCTAGGAACATGATTTTGGGGCGTACTCCAATCTTGGAGGGCTGCATTGGCGTCGGCCATGCCTGGGGCCTGATGAATCATGTTCCCACAAGGACTTCTGGGAGCATGATCTTTGGGAATATCTTTTGGGGCTGCTTGGGCCGGTCCGTCGTCGTCGTCGTCGCCTCTTGAGGAGCCATGTTGGGAGCCCGATGAATCATGTTCCCGCAAGGACTGTTGGGAACATGAATTGTGGGAATGTCTTGGGGGGGCCTGCTTGGGGCGTTCCGTCGTCGTCGTCGCCTATGTTGGGGCGTTCCGTCGTCGTCGTCGGCCACCGATTACCGCGTACCTTAAAAAAACTGGGCGCGAAACCTGTGAAAGATCGAAGGGGACGAGGAGGAGCAGGCAACGAGGGGAAGAAGCAGAGCAGGAAAATGGTGCAGTCAGGTGATGTTACAAATATCGTCATCCGATGGACCCCCTCCTGGTCCCTCCGGGGCCTCCCCCTGGCCGCTCAAATTATCTAGGAGCCTTCGGCCCATCCTGCCTCTTGGAAGCAGTTTCGAAGCCTCTCTGGGCCGGTTTTGTCGGCCTCTTGGGGCCCCTTGGTGGCCTCTTGGGGCTTCTTGGGAGTCTCTTGGGGCTTCCTGGGAATGGATTATTCGGGCGGACCCCGTTATTTATCGAGGATCCGAGGAAGGGGGTCGACTTTCTTCGAACGGGCACGCGCGAAACGCATTTTTTCACGCCGAATTGGACTTTACCTCGCTTCTTTATCGAGCGGATATCTGCCGGCCCTCTTCCGGGGGGGCATAAGAACCCTGGGCCCGAGCCATTTCCGGGAAAAACGAAAAGCTATATTGAGCCGTCTTAGACAGCTGCTTTGAACACGTATTGGGCAAACTTCGGATCTTGAGCCGTGTTGGGGTCCTAGGTCCTAGGACGTCCTCTTGATTTGTCCTTGGCACCCAAAGCTGAGAAGATAATGCGAACTAATCATTTTTCGAGGATGCCTCCATGTTTGAGAACCTGGAGCCTGAAACCCAGAACCACGAATCCGCATATCCGAACTCGGGGGTCCAATCCGAAACGTGGACCCGGAACCCGGAACCTGGGATCCGAATATCCGAACTCGGAGGTCCAATCTGGAACCTCGAACCCAGAGCCTGGAAACCCGAATCCTGATATCCGAATCCGGAGGTCCAATCCGGAACCTGGAACACAAAACCCGGAACCCCGAATACGCATATCCGAATTCGGAAGACCAACCCAGAACCTGGAACCCAGAACCCGGACCCAAAATCCGGATATCCGAATTCGGAAGCCCAACCCAAAACCTGGAATCCGGAATCTGGAACCACGATGTCGCATATCCGAATTAGGAGGTCCAATCCGGAACCTGGAACCCAAAACCTGGAAACCGGAATCCAGATATCCGATGACACCGGAGAAAGAACCCAATCAGATTTTTGTTGGGGCTATGGGGCTGTAGGGCTATAAAGCCATAAGGTTATGAGGCTATAGGGCTATAAGGCTATAGGGCTATTGGGCGATTGGGCTATGGGGCTATAGGGCTATAGGGCTATAGGGCTAGAGGCCTAGAGGGCTATAGGGCTATAAAACTATAGGGCTATAGGGCTATTGGGCTATTGGGCTATATGCTATTGGGCTATTGGGCACCCCGGGCACCCGGGCACCGGGCACCCGGGCCCGGCCACCGAAATCGGCGACCAACCTCACCGGCCACCCGGGCACCCGGGCACCGCCGGGCACCCGGGCACCCAGGCACCCGGGCCCGGCCACCGAAATCGGCGACCCACCTCACCTAAACCTGTAATCCGCTAGGACCCCTACAGAGGCAAGCTCTGATTGGGGAAATTCGGAACCCCAACCCAAAACCTGGAATCCGGAACCCGGAAGCACGAATCCGCACATCTGAACTCGGAGGTCCAATCCGGAGCCTGGAACCCGGAACCCGGAACCCGGAATCCAGATATCCGAACTCGGATGTCCAATCCGGAACCTGGAACCCAGAACTCCGAATCCGGATAACTATCCGAATTCGGAGGTCCAATCCGGAACCCATGGAACCCGGAAGCCCGGAAACCGGATATCCGAATTCGGAGGTCCAATCCGAAACCTCCAACTCGGAACCCGGAACCCCGATTCTGGATATCCGAATTCGGAGGTCCAATCTGGAACCTGAAACCGGAACCCGGAACCTGGAATCCGGAGATCCGAACTCGGAGGTCCAATCCGGAACCTGGAACCCGGAACCCGGAACCCGGATATCCGAATTCAGATTTCCGACTTCCGAATTGGATTTTCGATTTTACCTCTCCAACCTGATTCTCCGGATTGCCACTGAGTCCAGCGCATCCGTGCACGCGTGCTCCGCAGCAGCCATCTTTCCGCATTGCGCCCTGAGCGAAGACAGTTTGGCCCCCACAGGGGCCCTCCCTCGGCGCATCTTGGAGTCTTCTTGGGACGTCTTCGTGGCCTCTTGAGCCGTCTTACTCGCACGTCTGCGGCCTTGTCAGTCTGCTCTGGTCGCTTCTAGCCTCTGGAGCTGTTTGGGCGGCGGGGAAAAGCCAAGGAGGCCCAGGAGGCCCCGCACGCGTCAAAAATGACGTGGGCCAAGAGGGGGGATCCGGGAGGGTGTCTGGGCCTGGGCCCCAGGGCCCCTGGTACCCCAGCAGGGTCTTCGAATGCGGAGGAGCCGAGGCATGTCTTGCACAAGGACTCTCGTAGCGGCCTTCACGAATGCTGCAAAGGGTGGGCGCTCATGTGCACAGAAGTCTCAGAAGCCCTGTACAACAGACTACAGACATGCTGGGGGAAAAGACCCACGCAGCAGCCTCCAGGCTGTGGCTTGAATGGCAACCAGATGCTGCCGCACAGCCACTGAAAGTGGTGCAAAGTGGCACAAGCCATGCACAGAAGTCTCAAAAGCCGTCTATAACAGACTACAGACATGCTGGGGGAGAGGACCCACGCAGCAGCCTCATGCTGGGGGAGAGGACCCGTGCTGGGGGAGAGGACATGCTGGGGGAGAGGATCCATGCTGGGGGAGAGGACCCGTCTATAACAGACTACAGTCATGCATGCTGTGGCTCGAATGGCAACCAGATGCTGCTGGACAGCCACCGAGAGTGGTGCAAAATCTCAGAAGCCATGTAAAATCTCAGAAGCCTCAGGAGGAGGAGGAGGAGGAGGAGGAGGAGGGTGAGGAGGAGGAGGAGGAGGAGGAGGACGAGAAGGAGGAGGAGGAGGAGGCGGAGGAGGGGGAGGAAGAGGAGGAGGAGGAGGAGGAGGAGGAGGAGGAGGAGGAGGAGGAGGAGGAGGAGTGGGAGGCACGAGCAACGAAGACAGCCAAGCCACGCCTGCACGCGGCCCCCGGGGACACCCTTTGGCCTGGGCCGCCCACGATGCTCCACGTCACTCGCAGGGGGCTGGGCGCCTCGAAGGGGGCCCTGGGGACGCCGGCGACCAGATGCGCATGTGTATATATATATATATATGTTTTGCCCCCCCCAAAAACATGATGGACCCACGAACCCGGAAAGGGATATAGACATGTGGAGCATGGACACGTTTTCACGATACCCAACTGGGCAACACCTCACGAAACATCCCACGAGACACTTCACGAAACATCCCACGAGACACCTCACGAAACATTCCACGAGACACCTCACGAAACATTCCACGAGACACCCCGCGAAACATTCCACGAGACACCCCACGAAACATTCCACGACGACAGGCAACCACTCAACCAAGGCGGTGTGGTCGTGCTGGGGAGTGGTCGTGCTGGGGTGTGGTCGTGCTGGGGGGTGGTCGTGCTGGGGGGTGGTCGTGCTGGGGGGGTGGTCGTGCTGGGGGGTGGTCGTGCTGGGGCGTGGTCGTGCTGGGGCGTGGTCGTGCTGGGGTGTGGTCGTGCTGTGGTGAGGTCGTGGTCTGGGGTGGGGTCGTGCTGGGGTGGGGTCCTGCTGGGGTGTGGTCGTGCTGGGGTGTGGTCGTGCTGGGGTGGGGTCGTGCTTGGGTGGGGTCGTGCTGGGGTGTGGTCGTTCTGGGGTGTGGTCGTGCTGGGGTGTGGTCGTGCTAGGGTGGGGTCGTGCTGGGGTGGGGTCGTGCTGGGGTGTGGTCGTGCTGGGGTGTGGTCGTGCTGGGGTGTGGTCGTGCTGGGGCGTGGTCGTGCTGGGGTGGGGTCGTGCTGGGGTGGGGTCGTGCTGGGGTGTGGTCGTGCTGGGGTGGTCCGCACCCTGTGATTTATCGATCGGGTCGTGCTGGGGTGTGGTCGTGCTGGGGTGTGGTCGTGTGTGGTCGTGCTGGGGTGTGGTCGTGCTGGGGTGTGGTCGTGTGTGGTCGTGCTGGGGTGTGGTCGTGCTGGGGTGTGGTCGTGCTGGGGCGTGGTCGTGCTGGGCGTGGTCGTGCTGGGGTGTGGTCATGCTGGGGGTGTGGTCGTGCTGAGGTGTCCCGCACCCTGTGATTTATCGATCGGGATTTCAAAAACAAGCGTTTCGCCTGAGACATCCTCAAATTTTAATCCGCCGGCCTCCTTCGACCTCGATATTTATCAGGGAAAGAATCCGCAGGCCTCCTTCAAGTTGGGCACCGGGGACATGTTTACATACTAAAAGAGAACCCTTCAGGGCGGAGCCCTTTCCGGGAAAAATGTATGTATATATATATATATATATATATATATATATATATTATTCGGCGAGGAATGGTAGTCTCAAGATTAACTCATATCGCTGAATTCATGAATTCAGGCGCGCACTCGCCCGACGACCTTTCCGTCAGCTGACCGCGCGGGAGCCACAGCCAAATGGTGGCTATGACCGGCTCTCTGGGCAGACCTGCGCTGTTCGCGATCTACCTCGTCAAGCTTTGCGACCTCGGCGTCTGGCAAACGAGGACAGTGCAATAAAATCCAATCGCGGCATTTCGGGCGACGCGAATCGGACACGTGAGCGATCAAGCGCAATCGCTGCACGAAGTCGGTGCCGCATGCGGGACACTTCGAATCAGGAAGATAGCAACGTATCTCCAGGCGAGTGCCGTGCTGAGCTCGCTGGTGGCTCTGCAAGCCCCGCGACGTAGAAAATGCAGCTCCGCAGTGACAAACGTGAGACTCGCGACCGGGTGTCGGATGAGGGGCGGCCGTCGCATCGCACACCGAATCGCAGAAGAAGATGCGGTCCACGAGCACCTTCCATGAGCCCTCGTCATGCATGAGATGCGCCCAGGCCTTAGGGTCAACTGACAAAGCAGGGAAACCGTCAGGGAGGTGGGGCCGAAGGAACGCGGCATCTCTCTCTAAGGCCTGGACCCACTTTAGCTTGTGCCCTCCAGGCCTCGCGCCAAGCAGGGCGAGCAAAGCGGCAGGGCGACTGCGCTGCAAACGAGCGCAGTACTTCAGCCGGAGACGGGCGACCAGACATTCAAGAGCAGGCTGGTGCAATGCCACGCGCACTTCGCGATCTGTGTGCTCGGAGTGCTGGAATCGAGGCTCGTCAAATATACGTCGAAGCACTGTCATGTACACGGCGTTGAGACGTTTCAAATGGCTCGCAGAAGGCACAAGCACGTGAATGCCAAACAAAAGCTTAGACATCAACAGACACTTTAAAAAGTACAGCTTGTGTGCGCGATCGACGTGCAAAGAACCAAACACTTTGTACGACAAAGGGGCGTACGCAGCGCGGGTCTTGGCAGCCTTGGCAGTAGCATCACAAATGGCACTGGCGCGGAGGGCAGTGGCCGTGCCAAGATGTTTATATGATCCTACAATGCGAATGTGAACATCTCTGCCTGGGACCTTCACGCTCAACTGGCCAGTTGCATCTCGGCGAGCTTCGCGCCGGGCGGTGGCCTTCGGGCCGCGGTACTCTAGAAGAGCCTCGGTCTTCCCAGGAGAAGCGTTTAACTGCAAGTGCAAATTCTCAAATGTAGAAAACAGCACTTCCAGCAAGACATCGATGTTCTGATCCAACTGCTGCGGAGACGTGGCAGTGATGGCAATAGCTTCATCATCAATGAAAGCCGCATCCAGGACAGACTCTGTAGCAGGGCCAGCAGAAGGAGGAGCCCAGAAGGGATCAGAGGGGGAGGAGAGACGGAGGGTGACCCCTTTCTCTTTGAGCTGTCTGGCAATGATGTCCAGGGCTATCCCATAGACTCCATTGAAAGTGAGAGCACCTAACTTGCATCCCTGCCTCCCTCCAGTGCGGCTCGTAACGCAAGTTGGAAGATCAGCGACTGCGACCCATGCACCTTCATGCAACGTGCGCATCATGCATGCTACAGTCTCGTCCACTCCCCACTGCTGGAGAAGATGGCCGTGCTGCGAGAGGTACTCGAGCATCCAATCTGCAGCAGGCTCAGACACGCCGAGCGAGAGGAGATGGGACCGGTGGGAAGAGGAAGGCATGTCACCCCAACCGTACATGAGCTGCCGAACAACTCGATCAAACGCTTTCGTGAGATCAACGTACAGCACGAAGATCGAAAGCTTCGCTAAGCACGCGTAGTCTATGAGCGAGTGCAACACATGTGATGCCATGTCCGTGCCACGGCCAGGGATCGCACCATACTGAGACTGGGGCTGGTGAGCAACATACGCTGGCGTCACAGCCTGTTGCAATATACCCGTCAAGCCTTTGCTAGCATGATCGGCGAGTAAAATGTTACGGTAATCGTCCGTATTTAGGGGGTCACCCTTTTTCTTAAAAACTTCTTGGGACCTCCCCCCGCGCCACTGAGCAGCCCAAGCTCCTGTGGCCTTGGTGCGCTCATTGACGTCAGAATACTTGACAGCAAGAGCGGAATCCCCAGCCTGGAGCAGCTCGGCAGGGATCCCATCATAGCCGACGCCTTTGTTTCGACCAAGGGCCCGATAGGCGCGCCGAGTGGCCTCGGGACCTACATCAAGGGAGGACTGGCCCTCGGAAGCAGCAGGCGCCCCCGTGGGACTCGCAGCCCGCGGTATGAGAGGAACGGCCACGCTGCTGGGACACTCATTGGTCGTCCCAGGGGTTCCAAAATCGACTGGCTGGCATCCCTCAGGATGACGGTCGAAGGAGGGCGGGGCGAGGAAGGAGGAGGCAGGAAGAGGAAGAGGGGAAGACGAGGGGCAAACATTCAGTGAACTCGCCGGCGGCTGGGGGGGGCTAGTCGCCGCCGCCGCCGGCAGAGTAGACGTCACCACTCCTGGGGCGGTCGTGAGAGGCTCTGGCATTGGCAGCCTCAGTAAAGCTTTGTCTACGACCTCGCCACGAAACACATTTTTCACGTGATCTTGCCACACGCGTTTGACCTGATCACTTGTGGAGGTCAATGCGCCTTCGGAATCGCGCAAGCACTGGCTCGGGCGAGGAGCGCGTGCTCCCAGGGCTCGCAATACAGCGAAAGCCTGGCGAGCATCGTGCGCATCAATCGCACGCGAGGCGCTCGCAGCGAGGGAGTCGAGATACGCGCGGCGATCCTCATCAATGATGGGGCGCGCGCATTTCTGAAGCTGAAAAATAGAAGCCGTGATGCACGCTTCCTGCCGGAATCCTTTCCGGACCTCCGCCCCCAATCCAGGGGGCACTGGGAAATTCGGGGTCCTGTCGCAATTCTCACGCCATGCGTGCAAGAAAAACGCTAAAAAGCAATTGCGCCTGGCAGTGGTGGCTGTGAAACGGGCGCGGCGTAGGGGAGCAATGTGTTGAATGACCTGCCAGGCCCGAGAAGACAGCCATGCCTTTCTGGGCTGTTTTTTGGGGGGTCCGAAACTGTGCAACGCTGCCCACCGAGTCCATACATTCAGAAGTTCAACGTGGTCATCAATATGTACAGAAGAAGAAGGAGGAATATGCGGAAAGAGCCACATGAGCTGCTGGAAAAGTTCACAACAGTGCACTGATTGAAGGTTGTGCTTGTTAAATTTGAAAGCGGGGCTGATAGCGTGCTGAACGTCAGATGGGACAGCCTCCGCGCGCAACACGACGGCATTATGATCGTCTTTAGCGGAGAGAGCCAAGTCGATGCTACGATCTACAACAATGCTGGCAATGTTGACAAAAATAACTTCTGGCACAAGTACATAATCAATGCGAGAAGTGGTGGCATGCGTGGACGTCCACGTGTGCCCACCCTCCCCCCAAGTGTTGCTGATACGCAAACTGAAATCTTCGGCAAATGTGCGCAGCAACGTGCCGTTCGAATTCTCATGTTCGGGCTGACTGGGGCCTACCACGCG